GAGATGGTGCCTTATAGGATCATCGACTATCACCGGCATCAGCATGACGGACGAGACGATGGGTTCAGCCCCGTTCCTGGCGTCTGCTGAAGTCTGAAGCAGCCTCTTAGAGGAGAGGCCGCCCGGGGCCGGCTGAATGTCTTCGCCTCACGATCTCGGCCTGATGTATATTTGACCTCATTATTCATTCTCTCGATACACCGCTACAGTGATGAAGGTGATGCTTTCATTCATTCATTCATTCTTTCTTTCTCACACATACTTTCGCTTTCGCCCGTTTACCCTGATGACTGGAGTCTTGGGTGAATCTTCCAGAACCCAACGACTAATGCATGGCCAGATGTTCCATCCCGGCTCCTGACCGCTTCTCCTGCCATTTTCCTTCATCCTGGTTGGTTTTTTTTTCTTTCCCTTTTACCCCATATGCCACCTATTGATCCACCGCCGCCGTTGGCTGACAGCCATTCATTAATGGCTGGTATTATCGGTGGTGCTATTGCCAAACGGACTGGTCTTCGCTCGATGGCCGTTCCGATTCTCATCTGCTCGGCTGATTGTCTTCAGCCCATGTGGGGGTTGTTGCGTCGTCGCATCCGCCCCTAGACTAGATAGAATAGACGCCCTCCCCCAAGACCTAACGGCCCTATCCCAGGTCGCACGCGCTACCTGACCGGCGGTAGTGTGGTTGGAGACGATTCTGGCGGCGACCTGGACTGATTGGCCTGGGAAAGTCAGCTAGACGAGGTCTATTTCACGCCTTCAGCTTGTGGGTGTTGAGGTAATCTCCGTAGCTTCAGCCTAACCTGGCTCCCGGGTCCCAGTGGTTCGGATCAGCACCAGCCATTTTCTATTGAGTACTCTCTTGATTATGATCTAATTTAATGCAGTACTGACCGTCTCCTGCCAGGGATTTTTGGATTCTTGGATTTTTGGACTTTTATCTTACAGGTTCCAAGTTGATTTGATCATTCAAATCATGTCTCTTGTATGTAATGCGCCACTTGCCGCCATCCTTTTCGGCCGTTCGACCGCGTCAAGCAGCAAGATACCGTTCTGAACCCCCGTGAGTTGTCAAACGTGGCAAAGTGAGAAATAAGCAGTTCGCGGCTAGACATTGATTGACCCATCCTCTTCAGAGACCTCGGGGCGAAAAAAGTGGAGGTTGCTATGACTTTTACCTTAAGCTTAGTATCACTAGAGTGATGGTGTGAGTGTAATAAAAGCTTTTTTCTTTCTTTCTTTCTTTCTTTCTTTCTTTCTTTCTTTCTTTCCCTCTTATCAGGAGTCAGTGTTCCCCCGTTGTCGGTTCCTGGTTATAGTATCCATCATTTCCCCACCGGTGCTGCTGCTGGCTCTCCTGCTCTGGCCTTTTTCGTGTGCGCTACCATCATCCACTATTATTAGTGTCAGTTCACATCGACTACTGACCTCCCTGTGGGGTTCGAACCCAATCTGTAAGTCTCCTCTGACGTCGATGGTCCTTTGGACATATGCCTGAATCCGGGACGTTCTAGAATCATAGCCGTTCAACCGTCTGCCGGAGATCTTGCTTCCGTCTATACGTCTGGGTAGTAGTCAGTGGTACAGAGACTAAACCAGGGAAAGGGAAGAAAAAAAAACAAGAAAGAGAAAAAAAATAAAAAAGAAAAAAAAATCTGGGGTCTAATAAAAAAGAAGAAGAAGAAGAAGAAGAAGAAGCAGAAGAAGAAGTCAAGGTGGTGTGGTGTGCAGCTAACTTACATGTGAGTTAAATCAGACTGACTGAGTGAGGGAATGCGTGTGGTGTGTACGATTCATCATTCATCTACTACTACTATCTATCGGGGTCTTTCTTCTTACAGAACTGTAACCACCACCTCTCGACTACCAATCTATTTTCCTCTCTTTCTTTCTCTGTCTGTCCCCCGATCCCCCCTCTCCTCTCTTTTCCTCCCCACTCAAACCTTTCCCCCTCCCCCCTCCCCCCTCCCCCCCACTCACTGTAAAAAGGAGACACTTTTATTTTTTGAACACGGCGCCGTCCCCTTCTCCCAAGACACCAATTTGGCTTTCTTGTCCTCTTCATTCTGACTTTCCCCGTGGTGCAGCAGTGGGCAATGTCCACATACTCCCCTTCCTCCACTGGCGTGCCCGTCATGTTTGATCCACCGGCTTACCCGTCTCTCTTCCGTGCCGGGGCGGAGATCCCTCCGTTCTACATGAAATATCGCTGGTGGGAAGATGAGGCCATGACGATGCTGTGGGCCTTTGACATCCAAGAGATCAAACGGGCGATCCGCTTCGGCCTCTTCCGAGACGAGAGTCTCCCTCGAACCGCCTTCCAAAATCGCAATGCCAGTGCCATTGACGCCTTCTTGTCGGAGCTGGTCGAGCCCCATGAGAGGGCCTTCATCGGCAACCTCTCCCACATTCAGAAGGTGGAGGAGATCCTGCGCCGGTGCAGGAAGGCAGACCCGGCGCTGGGAACGTGGAGTTGGTTTCCCGCGCAAGGGAACCGGAACATGACTGCTATCGGCATCGCCGAAGACCTCGACCATGAAAGCCATCTGCATTTCACCCGGATCCCCTTCGAAGAGCTGGTGCGTTACTCGCTGGGCTACTCGGCCCTCTCAGTGGAGTGGTTCCTGCAACAGCATACCGCGTTGCATATTCACTTACTGCACCACCTTCAGGCATTTCCGGAGGAAGTATCACTGTATGTCGAGGTGGAACAGGTTCGTACAGTCCTACCAGGCCAGTGCTTGAAAGAGATGCTGACATTAGCGGGTAGCATCTTCGCAGCCGGAGCCCCTTTGCTCATCGGGCTGTGGTGGCTTGTCTGCGTGCTCTTCGAGGCGGGCAAATCGTGGCGAGTCCCACGACCCCAGGTTTCGAGTTCATCGCCGGTCCGATCCAGGAGTTGTTCAAAGAGATCTCGCCCAGCTTGAAATCCATTCTGAAAGTGCTATGCGTCTCGGCCGTGCGGTACAAGCAGGCATACGTGCATACGCGGCACATGAACTGGACTCGACCTTTCAAACTCAACTTGGCGTTCTTGGAAGACTTGACGGCGTCGACCTCGCCGCTGGACTTCGCCCGTACGATGGCCCATATCGATGAGGGGTATCTCACGGGGCTCTCGCAGAAAAGCTTCGTGGAGCCAGGGCCGGTGGTCAAGCGGGTATTTACAGAATGGGAGCTGTTAAGTATAGCGGTGTGGGAGTGTTGTACAGCGCTTCCCGAATTGGTGGGCTACATCCAGGAATGTGTACAGGTGAGAATCTTCTATCAGAAGCAAGATCCAGGAGAGAGCTAATCTTGAGATCAGGCTCTACTGATGGTGCGGAACTACCACTCCCTCACAGCTATCATCGACGGTCTCCGAAAGTACAGCATCAGCACATCCACTAGTGTCCCTTCCACCCATATGACCCCTTTCATGCTCCCTCCCGACTTCGAGCTTCTGTTGGACCCTTCTGAAAACTTCGTCGCCTACCGACAAGCATTTACCACCAACCCGGGCGTGCCCTTCCTCGTCCCTCATATCCGCGAATACCAGCAACATGGCCAACCGGCCTTGCAGCAGCTCTTCCAGCACATGCGGCCGTCTCCTCTGCGCTCATGACCAATCCGAGCGCAGGCACGCTCCAGAAACAACAGCGAAGACTGTCGGGCAACCATCTGCTTAACACCTGAACAGAACAACAGCGGAATTAAATGCAATACGGTGGCGTTCTCGCTGTGCCAGGCCAACTGAGTTTTACGACCAGTCGTCTCATAGGACAAAATAATCCTAGACCGGAAACCCATGCCTGACGAGGCTAACTTCTTCTTACTTTGATCTATCTTGCGACAGACGCTATGCAGGCGGGCGATATTCCCGCCTGCCTGGCTGTTCTTACCTTTGGTTTCCTCCCATTCCTAATAGCCTTTTTCTTTTTTTCTTTCTTTTTTTTTTCGGATATGCCTGTTATTGCAGATTGTTCTTTGCGGGGGCTTTTGGTTCTATCTACTAGCGGGGACTGTATTTCTAATGCATCTAGATATTTAGCTGTTCATGACTCCAGCGGCAGATTGGGTTCGTATGTGATCGAGGCGATGTTTTGGGACAGGTCGTTCGAGTAAAAGAGGGAGATCCAATATCCCCTATAATCTATAGGCCCGCAGTGAGCCCCCAATAAAGAAACTGATTACCTTGGCTTCTGTCGGATGTACGGTACGGAGTACCCTGTTCGGTGTCGGGGGTGCTGCTGGACATGGGTGGTAGTCCTAGTGGAACTACGTGGGCGTCGATACATCACTTCAGTGTATGCAGTGGTGCTCCGCTATTCTGCCTTGATGTGCAGCTGAACTTGTCTGTCCGGGGATCACGGAGTACTGATAATTGCTCGCCTTTGCCGGGGAAGGGGAAAGTACGGGCCAGCAGCCTCCATCCATGCCTCCATGCATCCGTCCATGGATCAGCCCTAGCCCTTGGCATCTGCTACGTATTGCCCTGTTGCTTCTGGTTCATGCGATCCTGATCTATTCCTGCTTTTGGAGCGAGCCCTATTCTTTACCTCAGTCATATGTCATGCGGCTTTTCCGGTTGCGTATGCTTGCAGAGGACATGTAAATAGTGTCAGAGTGAGTCATTAACTAACTTACCGGTATTGACATCATGTGAGGTCTGCTGCTAAGTCTTATAATAGTTACTAGTTGATGTCAAGTTCGAAGTGCACAACGTAGCTCCAACAGCAACAACAACAACAAAGAGGTGGAGACCGACACCACAAAGGTTCAAGACCCAGATCTGGAGTGCACCGTCTTCCATCCTCCGTAGTATCAGCCTTAGCTGCAGAACAAACCTCAAGGATCGAGTATTCGAAACCGAGGGAGCCGTCTAATCCACCGATGACTCTTTACATCTATTATTGTAAATACAATTAACCCAGCCCCTTCCACCCGCCCGAAAATCCCCAGAAAAAGGCAACCAAACCCCTACCCATCCGCATTAACCCCAGAACCACTGCCACTGCAGCTCAAGCAACCTTCCCACCACGGTTCTTCTTTTCTCTGATCCCAGTTTTTCCAACTGGTGGTTGTGGTTGACGACACTCCCCCAACCACCCGCCCAGAAACAAGACGCGATTCACCCCCAGGAACGCCGTAACCGCCACATTGCCCCAGGTCAGGGCGTTCCAGCCGCGCACATCGCAGAACCGCTCCCACCCCATCCCCCACCCCGTGGCGGCGATGTGGCCCACGTCCGCCGCCAGCAGCGCCAGCAGGTACTGCCGGATGACCGGGGGTTCCGTCGTGGTGCGCAGGATCCCCACCCCCAGCAGGGCGAGCAGGCCGTACAGGTTGCCGAGCTGGTAGGCTAGGGAGATGGTTTGGGGTTGGATGGGAAGAGGAAAGGATTGGGGATGGGGGATTTGGTCGGTGATGAAGGCGGGGAGGTTGATGAGGGGGCTTAGGGCTCCGGCGATGCTGATTAAGGGAGATTAGGCTTTTGCTTGTGCGTGATGTTTATGGGGCTATATTCTAGAGCTATTGTGTGGGCTTGTATGGACGTACAGTGAGATGGGCTCGATGATGCCGAAGATTAGGTTGGGCCAGGGGGGGAGAATGGTGGGCATCGTGGACGCTTGGGATGATCGAGTTTGAAGGAACTGACTGACTGTCGTGTTGTCTGGTTCTGATTGTGATGCGTCTACCAGATGGATGGCTTGTACTGATTCAATTTATGTTGGTGTCAATAATCAATCAGTGAGCGTATACCGGCAGTGCTCCGTATTTCACCCGATTGGGAATTGCTGATTCAGCAAACCGGTTTTGCGCCTCTGGTGGATTTCCTCGCCCCTACCAAGCATAGCCCCGAGATTCAACTCCGCCCGCGGCAGCAAGCACGTTACAATAGCCAAGTTGCGACGGAGTACCTCCCGAGTCACTAGCTATCATTTCTACCTACTCCATACTTGACTTTCCATTTCATTTCTCTCCCCCCCCCCCCCCAAAAAAGAAAAACACCCTACCCTCGATCCACTTTTGCTGGATTAATAGTCAACGACCCTGCAAAATGGCTCATGGCTACGTGGGGAGTCTCGTTCCATCTTTGATGATCTTTATCCCTGCTTTCATCGTTTGAATGCTACCCTCCTGGATTCCGTGAAGAAGACCATGGATTCCAACACTACCTTTACCCGATCATACGACGAATCGTTGATTCGAGAATTACCCCAGCTCCAGAGTCTCCGCATAGCTCCTCTCCGTCAGCCCGTCTCGCGCTTGCTGAGCGTGCCTTCGCCGCTGGAGCCGAATGCCAGCCGAGTCCGCGAGGCCACCGCTGCTCCCACGCCCACTAGCTCGGCGGGCATTCTGCCTGGCCCCCGGAACAATGATTCCGTGGCCGCGGTTCCCGCGGAGCGTCTGAACCATGCATCGCGGCCGCCAAAGAAGAAGACTGATCCCTCCGTGGACTCGCTCCTTAGCCTCGAGCCCCCGCCGCCCAAGCCCATCCTTCCCGCCTTTGTTAATCTCCGTGCTCTAGAACGATTCCCTTATTCATCGTTCGACGATGATTCCCATCATTCTCGCAAGCGGCGCCGCGTCGGGGTGCAGGCCGAGACCTTCGCCGAGCATCTGCAGCTGCCCATCCCGCAGGCTCAGAAGGAACAGCGCCCACCCCCATTCGGGCCCTTTGCGATCCTCAATGGGCTCAACGAACCTCCCCCCAATGCCGCTCTTCTGCCGCCCATCGAAGCCGGCTCGAGCATCACGCAGCTGCTGACTAAACCCTCCCGGGACAGCTCGGTCGTTGAGCCGGCTTCGCTGGCCACTTCCTTCGGGGAGGGTCCGACAGGCGAAAGACGAGAGGGCAGGATCGAGGATATCCTGGCCTCTCCCATTGCCACGAAGACGGCCCTGAGCGATCGCGGTGGCGCGGTGGTCATCGGACTACCAGACGACCCGGTCGCCCCGAATCGGCCGCCGCCATGTGACAAGACCGACGACGGGGAATCGGACGACAAGAAGTCATCCTCTGCCGACGAAAACGAGGAGCCCATATCCCCCAAGACACGGGGCCGTTCTCGTAAGAACCTTCGCAAGTGGACAGAGGAGGAAACCACGGCTCTGTTACGTGGAGTGGTCAAGTGCGGCATTGGGAACTGGACGGCGATCCTGGCTCAGCCGGAATTGAAGTTCAACAAGCGCAGCGCTTCCAACTTGAAAGATAGGTATGGTAAACAGCCATAGCTTCGAGGTGGATTGTACTATGGAGACGAGATCTAGGTCACCAACTAAACACAAATCTAGGTTCCGCGTATGTTGTCCCTGGGCCTACCGGTAAGTCCTCGGTTCTGTGGAAACCAAATCAGCACCGACTCCAAGCTAATCGTCTACAAGGGCTGCCGACCCGAACGAAGCCACGCGGCAATTGCACGACACTCTGGCTAACGCCCTCTCGCGGGCCGAGACGGAAGGATCTGATGGCACAGCCGGGAAGATTCACTTGCCGCCTCCCCGACCAGCCAATGCGGAGTCCCTCTCCGTGGGGAACAGCGTGACGGTTGGCTTGAATGAGCCATCCTCTGGCAGTAGCGGCAGCAGCTCCTCGAACACCAAGGAGACCGCTCCGAAGACCACCAACTCTAAGCCGAATTCCACGGCCAAGGCAACTCCTACGCTAACAAGCAAATCCAAATCGACCTTGGAGTCCCTGGGTATCCCGGAGCCACATTTTGCCATGAAATCCCGGCGTCGTTCCCGACGGCCATTCACCGTGGCCGAGGACGAAGCTCTACTCAAAGGGTATGCGGTGCATGGGTTCCAATGGACACTGATCCAGCAGGATACACGGCTGAACCTCGGCCATCGCAGAGCCACGGACCTGCGCGATCGGTTCCGGACCAAATTCCCGCACGCGTACCGCGATGGAGGCTCTGTGAGCGGTCGAACCCTCCACGACCAGGGGAAGGAGGCTTCCGACGCGAGAGATGACAACGACAGTACTAGCTCAGGCAGTAAGCAGGGAGCACAACCTTCCAAACCCCAAGAAACACGATCCGATCTCCCAGGCCAGTCCACCCTAGGACCCATCGACCCTGCTCTTCCCCCGCCTGCTCCGCCTCAGGGTCTACTAGAAAGCTCATCTAATGCAGCTGCGGCTGCAACCGCCCCGGCGCCAGGTACCGGTGCCGTATTCCCCTTCCCACTGGACGAAAACACAGGAACTAGTGATAACACCTCATGGACGGATAATACATTGGCGCCGATGGTGTGGGATGAGATCGGATAGCGTATCCTGCATGATTAGCCTCTTCTCCCCATTTCTCTTGTAGATTCCGGGTGTTATCCCTGCCTAATGACTCACGCATGTTGCAAATTTTACTTGATATTCTTGGCTCGGTCTCTACTCACTGGTCAATGGTTCGTCCCTATGGAATCAGAACCATCGCGTATGTTCAAGGATATTTGACTTGTCTCGATGTCCAAAAAATAGCCAGGTAGCACAGTACCTCTTACCACCTTATTTTCCGGCTTCTCCTACACTCGCACCGGCAATACCTCGCTAGTAAACCCACTGCAGGCAGTCAACTTCCAGTCCCTTTTCGGACCAGCCACCACTCAATCAACCACGGCAACCTCAACCTCAACCTCATCCAGGAAAGACACAGCATGTACCTTAACATTACAATACCGTATAAAGCAGCCTTTCCATGCCGTCCAGACATGCCGCCAGCTAACAACATCCCATCTCCTCGGCACTACTATCCGTACTCGGCACTCATATGCAAGTGGGTCAGCTATAGCGCACCCCTCAGAAGCCCTTTATCTTTTATCTGTATTGTATTTGAATTTGAAACAGGAAACATGCGTTACGTTTCATGAATCGACTCGGGCAGGGTTATCATGCACCGGATCCGCATTCTTTCATGGTTGCGGATTTACCCGGGGTGTGGATGCAGAGGGGAAATAAGGGGTGGGGCCCGTAGGGTAGGGTAAGGTAACTTGCATGCATACCGCACCTGGGCTGATACATTCCTTGGGGGGGTGGAGGGAGGGTCCGGGATGGATGGGGGGATTTCGGGACCTGGGTTTGGGATTTTGGGGTTGCTGGGAAAGAAATCATTATATGTGGCGTTTCTCATCTTTCGGTGTGTTGAGCTTAGGGGTTTGTTCTTGGTTCGTTCTGAAGATGGTGTATTGGTATACTTCGTGGGGCATGGGCAAGAAGGGACTGGTGTATTCGAGGGCGTGTTCTGGTTTTGTGGACTTGGTGGGCTATATGGAATTCTTGATACTGTCTTACTCGCCTGCGGTCTTGATCTTATATTTATATACAGGTGCAGGATTTAGGACAAATCATCCAGTTAGTACACTTTTTCGGACCGTTGAAAACTAGAACCTCCCGTTGCGCAACGCCTTGTCCGCGAAATCTCGAAGTAGATACTCCCGAATGGAATAAAAGTGATTATATCTCAATACCCAAAAATAACCGCACACAAGGCAGATCATTGATCATCGCTGCTCTGATCGTCCGTATCACTCGTCATGACCGTATCCTCCGCATCCAGCTTCTTCAGCACGGCGTCGCCCTTCTTCCCCTTCTTCTCCGCGGCGAACCACGCCTCCCGGCGCCGGGTCTCGCGCTCCTCCTTCCGCGCCTGGCGGAGGATCTTCTCGCGCTGGGCCTGCTCCTGCTTCCCGTGCAGCTCGTTGATGTAGTCGTGCAGGTTGGCGAGGTCGGCGCGCAGCTGCGTCACCTCGTCCGTGGTGGACTGGCGGGCGGTTTCGTTGATTGTGGCCTTTTTCTTTAGGATTGCCAGGTCGCCTTCCAGCTGGGCGATCTGCGCGTCCTTGGCGAAGGCTTCTTCGTCGGTGATTCCACTGTTTCCGGCATTGCTGGGGGAGCCCTGGTCGAAAGCGGCCAGTTCGGCGAGACCTTCCTCCAGCATCGATTCGGGGAAGTAGGCGTGCGTGAAGGCTTCAGTGAATTGGTTGGGTCTGGAGGAGGAAGTTGACAAGCTGAAGGGGAGGAGATGCGTGCTGAAGGTGTAGTCGGCCGGGACGGTTCCCGACGGCTGGGAGGATTCGGACAATGTGTGGTCGTAGCGGGGTTTGACGATGGTGTGAGACATGCGGGTGAGGTCGAGAGACGGGTACGAGAGACCGTTGGGAGGTAGCATGATGAGGTTCGTGATCGGGTGCGTGTAGTCCGCCACGGTTGACGCGTACTTCTTCCGTCCTACGTTCCAGGATAGGACCTTTCCGTTCTGGTGGCCGGAGAGTAGCGTCATTCCATCATAAGAGAGCGTGAGCGTGTGCGCGGCCCCGCTGTCGGCAGAGGGGGGTGCCCATCGGTCTTCGGCGGAGGGCTGAACGGGAGTGGAATGCAGAGAGGGGTCGTGAAGCGGGTGTTGGATGGATTGGTTCTTGTAGAAGTCGACCGACTGGATGCTGCCATCTGCGTAGCCGACGTAGAACGCTCGGTCAACGGGGTCGAGGGTCAGGCATGTTGCATTGGCTGACAGGAGAAATGTGCGCAAAAGACGGCCGGTGCGATAGTCCCATGCAATCGCAGTGCTGTCTTCCGCAATCGAAACGGCAATGTTGTATCTGCCGGCGCTGTGGCCCACGGCGATAGAGGTGATGGCGGCGCGGTGGTTCGAGAAGGTACGGATCGGGGAATTCGGAGCTTGACGATCACGGCCAGACGGAGGTTTTGTGAAAGAGAGGAGGTCGACGAGCGACCAGACGTGGATGCTCGCATCAGATGAGCCGGAGAGAATGAAGTTGGAGGTAGGGTCGACCACTAGTGAGGTTACCGGCCGCAGATGGGATGCGGTGGTTGCTATTTGTCGACCAGTGCATGTCTGATTGACAAGACGCCCATTAGCAACAAGCTAAGCAAGAAGTCATAAATGATAGATCCTCAAGCACGACTCACCTCCCACAAAATAAGACGGCCACCTTCTGTGCCCAAAACAACGACATCCCCATTCTTACCCCCAGCGAGTGCGATACTACGTATGCGCTCCGGGAAGGGGACTGTGGCCTCCTGGTTGCCCTTCTCCCTGCTATATACGTGGACAATTGCCTTCTCCGACTGTGCAGCAAACACATGCGACGGGCTCACAGCCAGGCAATTGGCCGCCGTCGAGCTCTTCTTGAAGGTGGAGCGCAGATTAAGTGTGGGCTGAAACTCGTGCACGCAGATTCCGACATCTCTCAGACTAGCAGACGCCGGGGTCTTCCCCGACGCCACAGTCGACGCAATGAAACACTCCGAGAGCATAACGTATCGATCCACGCAAGGAACTTGGAGCACGAATGGGAGATCTCAAGTCAACGTCTGTCTCTATCGCTCTTCTCCGAACTTTTTTTTTTGAGATACGCCAATCGATAACCGGCTGGTTTGCACTGTTTGCTTGGTTCAAAATAACTAGTATTTATGCATGGATCTAGTGATTACGTCAGCCAGCATAAGGAGGCTCATTATCCCTGTGCTTCCTCGTACTGTACTTCGTACTAGACAAACAACATCTCATGATCTCATCTTCCTCCCTCCTTGGATGATTCCTTGGTGAGCGACAGTCCCTTCCTTGGTCTCCTAGTTCCCTTAGTATCCCTCGTTACTGACGAATCTGGAACAAGCACAGCGAGCTCCTTGGGATCTACGACTCCTGTACAACCACTGCCAAAGTAGCGTGTATAGCTGCGCGCAGCTTCACCACTTCCAAGAACTTTGGGTGGCACACATGGAATTGCTGGCCTCCCAATGGTATCTCTGGTCCATCTAAGCCAATCTGCGATCTCCGCCCGCCGCAGTCAAGCTGGAATCCTCCCACCTGCTACTTAAATTGCGCTCAGCGTTGAGGCAGCATGGGCCAATCTAAGGGCTGCGCCTACGGCAACTGATGCAAGGGGCTTATTTCCAGGGGCCGGCAACCTGAGATTGCCCGGCGCAACGTCTATGTTGATTAGACAGCCGCACAGAGGATCTTGTGACGTTCGCCAAAGGACTGGCACAGACGCCCTCCATCTGCATGTCTCATTCCTTTCTAATAGACGATATGCAAACCCAGAGAGAGAGAGAGCGGACCACCCACGTTGCCCTGTGCCTGCAGGTGGCGCACGTCCGGACCTTGGCCCAATGACTGTGCCTACTTCTCGATCCCACCTCTCTCTGGTATGCAAGGAAATGGGCGTAATGGCCCTTCACTCTTCACTCATGTTCCAGAGTGTTAGACGACCCTCCCACAGGGGGCGAACACGCATGCCCAATGTCTTTTTCCCTGTCACCGCAAGGCAGTCAAGGGATACTTGAGCCGATGTGAAGCCCTGGTATAAGGTCTGGTGGGCCGCTTCAGCGCTCATGTTATGGTTTTCTTTCCGTTCCCTTTCTTTAATTGCTGTTAAGGAACGGCATTAGATTTGACTGACCCTTCAGCCTTCGTTGCTCATCCATATTGACCTAGCAGCCATGTCTTCGACGGACGGCCATTCCGTCAAGATGCAGTTTCATCTGCAAGAACACAATTACCACCATGCAATATCTGCAAATCTCCCAACATTTGTCAACAGGAGCGTACCAAGCTACAGTGTACCGAATCAAATTCTCAATGTGAGAGGTAACAAATCGTCGTCGCCCCGGTACTCGCCCAATATCCAACCTTGGAAGAGACAGCAGGCCCCGAGCTCATTGTCATTTGTTCCTTCGCCATCGCCCCGCATTGAACAACCAGAATATACCACGGCGCAACCACGGACCAGTTCGGAACGCCCTCCTGTGTACATGTCCCCTTTCCGCTCGGTGCGCAAGATGAAGCAGCCCTTTGAGCTGCGTCTGCCGTCCTCTCCTTCCACGGAGAGCCTTGCTGCAAGTGGCAAAGAGTCCCCATTGTCTCGAAAACCATCCAAGACTAGGACGCTTCGCCCATGGCGTTCAGATCAGAATCTCCGAGTCACGAGCATCGACTCTTTTGGTCTTCTGCCCAGCCCGCCTCTGTCAGACACCAGGTCACCACACGATTCACCTTCGTTCTATTTTTCGCCAAAGCCGGAATCGGAATCGGACTACAGTCAAAAGAGTCCTAATGGCTGTGGCTGCGTTGCAGGCAGAGAATCGTGTCGCGATTGCTACACCTCTCCTCAAAGCGAACCACGACAAGCTCCCAAAGACGTCAAAGGGACCCCGCATGTACGCATGGCGCACTCACATCTAGCCAGACAATGCGAAATGAGCGATGGGCAATTGACGCCTGCTTCAACCTACTCGGAGCGCATGTCATCGCCAGCTCCTTATTCCGACTATGAACCGATTGGAAAACGGAATTTCTCTAACTCATCCATTGGCGCAGGGAGGAGCAGATCAGGGACGGTGTCTAGTGATGGAAGTTGGGCTCCCAGCAGCTTGTCATACTGGGAGCCTTGGCTCCAGCGTGCGCCAGTGGAGGGCGCAGAAGGCCAGGGCGAGAGGCTCAAGGAGCTGAATCGACGCAGGATACAGATTGTGCAGAAAAGCCCTCCACCTCCTCCACGGAAAGTTGAATTGAAAGCAGCTAGACCGGCAGTGAGTCTTCTCTCAGAACACGAGTAGCATGAAACTGACCCTGAAACAGATGTACGCGGTAGCAACCAAGACGAAACCCAAGTTGGTTGATATATCACGCCAGTCGTCCCCGGCAATGAGCTACTCGCTCCCAACGCCACAGCATCCTATTCCATCCACTCCTGATCAAGGTCAGCAAGAGATATCAGCCTTCAGTCCCGAAACGCCTCTGGAGATGTCCGACAGCGGGTATATCACACATCACTCATGCTATTCACCTAACGACTATGCCCACGCCAAGGCTCCAGCTGAGGAGGACGCGGACGATGATGAAGAAGACGAAGACGACGATGATGTGTACACAGACATCAGCTCTGTCGCTTCCGAGACTCTTGGTGAGACCATGATAGATACCAAGTCGGCTCCCAGCCCGGAACTACCCAAATCGCCACCCAAGCCAGAGGTACCACCAAAGATTGCTGCGTCTGTCCAGGTATCGCCCGGCCGTTCCTCAACCTCCACCAAGTCGGAGAAGGAAGAGCTGGAGAAATGGTGGGATCACGAATGGACTATCGAACAGCTGGAGCTGTCTGTCAAAGACTTCCCACGGAACATGCTCCGCCTTACATCACCCGTCATCATGTTTCTTCGCCATAATAATGAGAGGGCCCTTTTGCGGCCTTTCCGCATCATCTTCCCCAGCGTTGCTGAAAACCTGCTGGACGGCTTATGTGCTGCTCTGATTGCACGGAACTATGTTGTCTCTTTGGCAACTACCCACCAGAGGAAGAGTCAGCTCAACCAACGATCGCGGCTGGACACAGTCCCGGAAAAGGCCACCGCAGTGTCAGGGACTACCAATCATACCACCCCATCACGTCAGGCTCTCGAAACACGCAGCATGCAGCTTCGCAAGGGCCTGGATAGAATTGTCGAAAAAATGCTCTTCGCTATATGCGGACAGGCGGAGGAGCATCTGAAAAGCGCCGTACTTGTTCTCGCCCAAGTGCTCGAAGCGAAAAACTAGGCGGTCACTCATTCAACCTTTTTCCTTGCTGTTTTCTCCTTCTTAACGCACCGATTCCCCTTATTCCCACAACCCATTTGAGATTCTTTCATAACTCCCCATTTTCTCGATGAGCCAGTCTTCCTGACTCTACCACTCGTTCTGTCAATTTCATGTCGGACTGCATTGCTGCCATTCTTTTGTCCCACTTCACTCACTCCGAATTCTCCTGGTGGCCTGTCACCGTCTAATCTCTTTACGTCTGCTACTCTTTGATTTGCTTTTGAATTCACTCCAATAGCCACTACGGTTGATGTATAATTTCTAGTGGTCCCCAGTACCTAGACTTTAATGATACCCTGCCAACCTGAAACATTTCACGAACACCTCCACCACCGTGCTGTAAGCCTACCATAGTCCTCTATAGAGTGTAGACACCCTGAATACTGCCAGAAAAGCCACCAGGGAGTGATCAATTAATCAGCATGAACGCCACTAAACTAGGGCAATGCACCTTGCGTCCTGAAGGAGATTAGTGGGCATGCAGCGGCCAACCTGAGTCAGCCGCCGGCGGAACCGCAGCCGAACTCCGATATCAGCTTGAATGTTTCCCGCGGAATCGAAACTACCTACCAGTGCATTATCTCTTCTTCTAGGCCTTCCTCCCTTTCCCTCTTCTTTGCTTCAGAAACAAAGATTCCCCATACACAAACCTCGATGATGGCAGCTCCCTCCACGAACCGCCTACGGCTCCTCTGCTCGTCCCGACGAGTGACCACCGCCACTCCCAGCAGCACATTCCTCACCCGCAGCTACGCCACGACCGAGCCGTCCTCCGCCACCGACAGCAGCACCAGCACCACCACGACCCCACGCC